CTTTTTCTTGTTATTATTCCATAAACAATACTATATAATAACTATTTATATAGCACTTATGCTGCATTAGGTATTATAAGAAATTTAGAAATGATTTAAATTATACAAAAGACTCTGCTTAGGTTATGTGCAAATATTATACCATTTTAGTAGTATATAAAGGACTTGAGAAAAGTAGGATTTTGGTATTCTTGGTGGGGGGTCCTGGACCCAATCTCCTCTGGGTAACAGGGGACGAGACTGTATACAGAGAGAATGAGAGAGAGAGAGCAAATAATGCAAAATGGAACCAATTGATGAATCTGAGTTAAGAGTACATGAAAATTCTGCAGTTGAGTCAATTAAAAATTGGTTGATTTGATGATAAAAATCTCACATCTTATTTGGTATCACATAGAGATTGCAGTAGCTACATAAGTAATGTCAAGAGCTGGCCATTGCAACTAGTTAAATCTCCTGAATTCTCTATTACTGAGAATAAAAAGAGCATTAGGATTGAAGGTATATTACCCAATAATATACATAGCTACCCTTCATTGAATGTTGATTGTTTGTTAGCATCCTGTTACATATTTACCATATTACTTAACTCCACTCCAACTGATTATAGCTGTGTTAGTCATTTGTTTTTTTTGACCTCACATGGTTTTTTTTCCCTCATCCTCTGATCCTCTCTTTATCCCAAGGGACTGTCTGGGAAAATAAAATTTCCCAGGCTCCCTTGCATCTGATTTCCTGTTAGGTTATCAATGGGAGGCATTGGTGTGAAAATGGAGTTGCAGAGAAGGGGAAGCCAGGGCATCTCTCCCTCTACACTTTGAAGCAGTGCCTTGTCACTAAGCAGCTGTGTGTGCTGCATCTCAGGCCTTTTCTCTTTGGAGTGACTTTCCACCAGTATAAATCTGTTGGTATTTTAATTCTTTGATACCTTTGTAATTAGTTTCCTAGAATATAAAATTCTTCTATTGAATTGCCTTTCATGGGTTCTATTTTTTCCTGTCTTTGTCTGTTTTCTTGTCTGATATAAAGACAGATACTATCTTCATTGTATGGATGGATAAGAGACTTGTACAAACATCACACAACTAGTTTAACAACGGGCTTTCAAACCAGTTGTGCTTCATTTCAAAGCTCAAGTACTTATACTACTACACTGTATCCAAATGATATTCCAAATGAACATCCAAATAGTTTTCATTAATCATCTTCCGATTACTTAGCTCCAATTGTTTGCATTATGGCACTAACTACCTATTATTATTATTTAATTGTCTATCTCTCCCAATAGTTGGTGAGACCACTTGCGAACAAGCACATATGTTATTCATCTTTGTATCGCTAGCACCAACTACTGTGTTTGGAATGTAGCAGAGCTTTAATAAATATTTGTGAAATGAATGAATAATAATCACTGCCATTTACAGAGTGACTATTTTATGCCAGCAGCTATGCTAGGGATTGGTCTCATGTAAAATTTACAACTCAATCTTTATACTTATATTGCAAGACAGGAAAAAATATTCCAGTACCTTAGATAAGTTTAAAAAAAAAAAAGAAGGCTCAATGAGTTTGAACAACTCACAACTAAACTAGGACTAAACCCAAGTTGACTGGGCCTCAAGGTCTGACATTTTTTATTATATCTAGCTGCCTTTCCATATCCATTAATGTGAATGAACAAGTACACAAATAAATGGGTTGTGGGGGGGCGGATCTGAACATTTTGGATTTTCAGTTATTTTGGGAGATTTACAAAGAGATAAAAACTCCTTTCTCTATGAGAAAAAGGAAGAGTTCAGTATTTACTTGGCATAATTAATGGAAGGAACATGTTTCTGTAACCAAATCTGTGTGTGTGCAGGCAAAAGGACAAAAAAATTGGGATAAAATTTTAAAGAAACAAAATAGTTTACATTGCCAGCGTGGAAAAGATTGGCCACTCTGATAATAACCTGATCATTCTTTAGCGTTATTTGCATTGGATGTAACACTGATGCTATTCACAACCAGTTCTCCTGAAGACTTAGGAAGTCGAGTATCAGTTTGGCTTTTCCGTGTCTTGGTCTATTATCAGAGTCGGACAGTAAGTTTTCTAAAGTCACAGAGTAGGTATATTTATTTTGCTTGTGTTTCTGTGCATTTCACTCTTTGGTTGGCACGGAGAAATCGCAGGCATGGCCATATGGCTCAGTTAAGTTTCTCCTTTTGTTTTGCCTAGAGTGATGTATCCCTGGTACCCCCTCTAATCATAAGAAGTAAAATAATACCTGTATTTGTAAGGCTTATTTGCAGAATCCAATATTTTATTCTTTGATTTCTGATGAAAATGAACTAATAGAAGTAAAATAACTTTTGTAGGCATTAGACAAAGAGTCATTGTTGGTTCTCCATGTGCTCCCCTGGCACATGCTTGCTTGGTTTGGTATTGGTTGAATTATTTCAGCTGGATACTCCCAAGAGGCTGTCCTCTTCTTGCAGAAGGAAAAGCCATTTGAAGATTCTGGAAATAAACAATTTTCTTAAGATGTTGCTGGTATGACTCTCTCTCTCTCTCTCTCCCCGCCCCCCCCCAGGAAAGGATGTTCTCCTAAGTCTTCTTCATGTATGTACTACTAGTTTTGCCATGATAAAGTAAAGCCTTTATTTTGTTAATTCAATACTATGATGTAAAATTAGATGTATGCATTTCCCAGTCTTAAAAAAAAAAGATGTCTATATATCTAATACGGGGGAAAGAGCACAAACAAGGTCACTTATTTGTTTTGTAAAAAAATTGTATTCTTTTGTGATTGAGATTTGTTAAGACTGGCAACTAAGGAGTGTCAAAAACCTGAGTGCTGCTGTTCAGAGTTCCAGTCACGCAAGATGAAAAGTGCTAGAGCCCTGCTATCCAAAAATGTGTATATAGTTAACAATTCTGTAATGTGCTTTGACTCCAATGAAAACAATACTAAACAAAACAAAAAAGAAACCCAGAGTTGTGACCAGTAGACATGGAAAAAATGCAACCCCATTTTTGTGAGAATGCATACTGAAGAATTTCCCGCTCCCCTTTGAATGCTGAGAAGGGGTTAGAGAACTAAAATGCTTCTCCTCTTAATACAGCTTCAGCCAGTCATTTTCATTAGCAGTGATGATTGATGAGGATTTATCTGTGGCACTGTGGTCCCAGGAACAAAAGTCACCGTGTAAACACCCTGTGCTAACAAAAGGGGATTGTTCACACGGCTGGCACTTGCCCTTCTCAAGGATATGAAGAAACAATGCGTGCTTTCCCTGATTTGCAACCACAATGCTCAAAGTGATTGTGACATTAACTATCGGATTTCATGAATTTTGTTCAAGAAACAATAGATTTTACTGTGAATTGATTTGTTTTTCTCTATTAACGTGTGTATGAAAAGCTAAAATGTTTTCACTGTATATAGGAAAATGTTCAGTGTTAATTGAATCGCATTGAATTCATTCCAAGTGCTTAGTTTCAAAATGCCTTTTATCCCAGTCAACACGTTTGTTTATAAGACATCCTTCAAGAGAGCAAACACATTTTGAAATAAACCTTTGAGGCATGGTGATAAAATGTGCTCAAGATGGTTCCATAGTGTCACGATACATAGAAGGAACTACAGTATTCTACTATGCGGTGATCTTCTGTGTTACTAACTTCACCTTTTATGTCCCCTGGTCAGATAGGAAAACATAGGCATTTAGAAGAGTCATTTTTTTAGCCACTAAAAAGAGTGAAGACAACTTTGACATGGAAGAGGAATAAGTTCTCTTTCTCTCTTATTGTTTGATTGGGTGACTATATTGGGCTCGGATTTTGGCAAGGAGAGATAGAAGGGAAAATGAAGGGGAGTAAGATTGGGTTCTAAATCATGAGAAGGAAGAGGAGAGAGCAGCTGAGAGGTTTATGTATAATAAAAGCATATGTATTACAGGTGAGGGCCAAAGAAGAACAGTTTCCATTCATTTGAAAAGTTATCCTATTCTCTCATTTTTTTTTTTCAAAACTAGCTCTTGCACTTGAACTTTGATTAAGGTGATTTGGCATTTTATGTGGAGATTGCAGCACGAGTTCATCTGTGGGGCCATTTGGAATTGCCAAGACTGTTTAATAATTTCCATGAATGATATATGAATTTTTTCATTTCTTACACACCAAAGCATTTGTAATTTGATCATATACTGTTTAGTTATATTCCAGTGTGTTTTATTTAAAAGTTTTACCATTCCCAATTAAAATATAGGTTTCTTGGGATCTGGGTACAAGTGCTTTCCACAGAGCCTAATTAGTTTATATTGTCTTTGGGATAGTGAGTCTTTCTTGTTCGTTTCCAAAATCCTGTGCTTAACACTATGGCTGGCACACAGTAGACTTTCAATACATAATTGTGTCCATCATAGCATGCGGAAAGAGAACTAAGCTCGTACACTGTGCAGTGTTTGTTGCCTTTATGTTTGTAGGGGAATAGGATTCAGCAAACTTATAAAGGTAAAGCAGTAGGGTCTTTAAAAATTAGTGCATTTAGGATCATTTGTTAAGTGGATATTGTTCAGAGGATTTTAATAAAGTAACTTGGGAAATACTGCTAATATAATATTCTCCCTTCTTAAAATAGATTTACTAGAATAAATATTGTCATAGTGAACACTTTGGTTTTGGTACAAAATATTGTCCTAGTTTCAAGACACTAGGACAAAAATAGACAAAATTTTAAAAAGGGGTTAATAAAATTGAATAGAGTTTAAGTAATGTTTTACATATAAAAATGTGTGCCTATATAATTAATATATATATACTTATAGATACACATAGACCTGTATTTATTACATAGATCTGCCTTTATGTCTGTAGGGGAATAGGATTCAGCAAACTTATATGTTTGGTCATCTCCTAAACCTCTTATCTTGCAACTGTAGGATTCTTTTCAGATCAGAGAACTATTTGTTGTTTTTACTTAGGCTATTTCCATAATTAAAATTCCATGTCTCCCCAGGTTTCCGTGAATCAGCAGTGCCCCAGAAAGTGCTTCCCTTCTTGAAACTCCAGGGAAGTATTGGAATGAAAAGAACTTGAAGAGGGAGCCTAGCCAAACAGAGATTTTTGAACTTTGGTAGGCTAGCTGAAGCAGAGTTTTAGCACAAACACAAATCAAAGTCTGTGTGTTCTTAAAAGCAGCATTTTCATGTAAGTCCAAAAAAAGTGCACTTTGGTTCTATTTGTTTTGGTTAAAGAAAGGAAAAGTTTTGTTTTAACCACATGGTCATTATTTTGTAAGAGGACATAACAAATAATTCTATCTTTAATCTCACTAAAGAGTAACTAAAGTTATTTGATGTGACCTTTTTCAATGGAAACTTAACAACTAAATCTTCTTTAACGTCATTATTTTCTAGATGGAGATCAAAAGCTTCCCAGGTGTTTTTGTACAATGGTTTCTGATTATGTTGTTCAAATTTAGTATTTTCTTCAAAAGAATGACGACTTAGGAGTTTGTCAGCAATTTAATATATTTTTGTCTTCTTAAAACAATAGAACTAAGAAATATCAAGATTTAAATCATAAATACTTTGGAACACTCAGAAGAACAACATGGGAGAAACTGAGAAAATTGAAACCCATAGAATAAGATGTTTTTCCAAGTTAAAGGTATGGAATTTTTTGCATGTATGTATTTATATGTATTTTTTTTAACTTAGAGCTTATAAAGTTGTTCATATGTTCATGAAGTAATCTAATGTTAATGTCCTACTACCTGTTATGGTGATAATTTCTTGCTTTAATGAAGTATGTTTTATAACTGAAAGTGTGTCTAAATAGGGTTATTGATTCAGGCAATTTAATTGGAGATAGTGTGGGGAAACTTAAACAGAAGACAAAGTCTTTAAAATTTTCAGGCGTGATGTTACAGCAGGACTTATTTTCCTAGATCAAAGGCTAATTAAATGTCCCTCCCCTCCCCCAACCTTCAGGGGTTTCTGGGCCAGAGGAGTGTGGGGATCTCTCCCGGAAAATGGTTCCTAGGCAGAAATGATTGCTGATCTATAGGCAGTGATCACTCCACAATGACCAAGTAAAGCAATTGTTTACTTCAAGCTTTGGCAGCATGCCAACCATTTTCAATAAGAAAAATGCTCATTTGTTAGCTGTTTCTAATATCTTGACTATTTCACAGTAATTTCTTTTTGCATTTTGCCTTTAAACACAATCTGAATTTATTTTAAGCAAGGGATCTGGATATTTATCTTGGTTCTATAGCTAGTGCCTGCAAGTGGTTTCCAAACTAAGACACTGCCAGCAATTTCTCCCTATCAAAAGTTTATTTTTTCTTTGTATGTGTTTAGGGAAAATATACACATGTACGTGAAAGTGGGGGATTATGATATAGATTTAGAAAACTAATTTTGCCTGAAATGCCACGTTTGTTATATTTGTAAATTTTCCCTTAAACTATCCTCAATTGTCATGTCCTTCTCCTGAAACTGAGTGGTTAAAAATAAGGTTCGAGGCCCAAGCTCCCTGGGGTCATCTCTAACTTCAACTGCTTACTTGCTTCAACCCTTAGACAAGTTGCTTAACCTCTTTGTGCTTCAGTTTTCTCATCCGAGAAGGTTAATAAAATATAATTATCTGATAGGATTTTTTTCTTTTTACATGCTTGAAATAATGACTGTACTATTGTAAAAATTCAATAAATATTAGCTATTTATTATTGATAGCAGTTGTGGATAAAAGTCAATCCAGGCATTATTTATAAACAGTTGGTCTTTAATTTTTGATCACTTTTGAGTTTGGCAAGATCAGACATTGATCTGAATGTTATGGCAAAATAATGCAAGTAGAAGTTTATCAGGTAAAAGTGAGAGGCAATTGCTTAATAATCAGATTTTGTGTGTGTGTGTGTAAGAACAATGTATTTTTCTAATGATGTGAATAACGAATATAATAATTTAAAATGTGCCTTGCTTACATTGGCTTGATTATATTAAACCTGAAGGGATCAATATCATAAATTTAATATTTATTTATTTTTATATATTTACTAGAGGCCCAGTGCACGAAATTTGTGCAGGGTCGGGGTGAGGGAGGGAGGGTGTGTCCCTCAGCCCAGCCTGCACCCTCTCCAATCTGGGACCCCTAGAGGGATGTCTAATTGCCCGTTGAGGCCTGATCCCAGGCCCAATCTCACAATCCAGGACTGCTGGCTCCCAACCACTTGCCTGCCTGCCTGCCTGATTGCCCCTAACCGCTTCTGCCTCCCAGCCTGATCAGCCTCTAACCACTCCCCTGTCAGCCTGATTGACACCTAACTGCTCCCCTGCCAGCCCAATTGCTCCCAACTGCCCTCTCCTGCTGGCCTGGTCACCCCTAACTGCCCTCCCCTGCTGGCCCAGTCACCCCTAACTGCCCTCCCCTGCCAACCTGGTCACCCCTAACTGCCCTCCTCTGCCATCCTGGTCGCCCCTAAATGCCCTCTCCTGCCAGCCTGGTCACCCCCAATTGCCCTCCCCTGCAGGCCTGGTCACCTCCAACTGCCCTCTCCTGCTGGCCTGGTCACCCCTAACTTCCCTCCCTTGCTGGCCTGGTCACCCCTAACTGCCCTCCCCTGCCAGCCCGATTGCCCCTAACTTCCCTCCCCTGTAGGCCTGGTCCCCCCCAACTTCCCTCCCCTGCCGGCCATCTTGTATTCACATGGGGTCAGCCATCTTGTGTGTTGGAGTGATGGTTAATTTGCATATTACCTCTTTATTATATAGGATTGAATTTATTGTGGTTACATTGGTTAATACAATTATATAGGTTCCTGGTCAAGGGCACATACTTGGGTTGCAAGTTCACTCTCAGCCCTGAATTGGGGTTGCATTGGAGGCAACCAATCGATGTGTCTGTCTCACAGGGATGTTTCTTTCTCTCTCTCCCCCTCCCTCCCTTCTACTCTCTCTAAAACTCAATGGAAAAAATACCCTCAGGTGAGGATTAACAACAACAACAACAACAACAAAAAGTTGCTTGTCAATTCAAGGATAACTTAAATTGGAGATTTTTTTTTTTTAAAATATATTTTATTGATTTTTTACAGAGAGGAAGGGAGAGGAACAGAGAGCCAGAAACATCGATGAGAGAGAAACATCGATCAGCTGCCTCCTGCACACCCCCCACTGGGGATGTGCCCGCAACCAAGGTACATGCCCCTGACCGGAATCGAACCCGGGACCCCTCAGTCCGCAGGCCAACGCTCTATCCACTGAGCCAAACCGGTGCTGGCTTAAATTGGAGATTTAATTCAGTTTTGTGGTAGAAGATATTTTGTCAACAGATGGCAAACATACAATTTAAAAATAAAATCTTCATATGTTTTCTTATATTCTTTTCTTTCTAGATGTTTCTGCTGGCAATAACATGTGCATTTATATCCAAAACACTATCTGGATCTTATATGAATTCCATGCTCACACAAATAGAGAGACAATTCAACATCCCGACATCACTAGTTGGATTTATTAATGGGAGTTTTGAGATTGGTAATGAATTATTCCCATATTATTTCCTTTTATAATTTATTTTATATATAGAGCTAGTCTGAATTTTATTCTCCTTATTTGTTTTAGGCAATTTAATCTTACTGAAGAGTATATTTTCTGAAACAGATTGAATAGCCTAGCTAACTTTGGAGTATGCTTAGAAATAATTCATTTAAATATTGCATCTGAATAACACCTAAATATTATCACATGTCCCCCACTGGATATTTTATTCTAATAGTTTCTGGTTATATAGCATAAGTAGTTAAGTATTTATAATATTTACATTTAATTTATCATTTGATGACTCTTAAGGGCTCCATCTTGATACTTAGGAAATACAATGGAAAACAAAGGAATCTGTTTTCCAAAAGAAGAAGCAAATATTTTCCTTCTCCTGTTGTTTCTGGGAAACTGACAATTCTTCCTAAGTGCAGAGGGAAGAAGAAACTGCTTTCACATCTCTCTGAATTGAGGGAAAGATAAAGTCTATTCTTAGGTCCTGCTTCTTGTGGATGACTGGGAAGATGTGAGGACAGAGAGGAAGAATGAGGGAGATAAAGATTTCTCCTGTGAACTTGCTGCATAGAAATATGAATACCACTCCTTTATAGTTTTATCATGGCTCCTACATCCTTCAAGATAAGAGTTGCCTTTAATATATTTAATCAAGCTCTGAACGAAAAATCAGGATTGAGGAGCGGCAAAATTGAAACGGGCGATTCTTGATTCTGTCTCCTAGTGTTCAGCTCCCTGTATCACCTGTATGCTAGGTGATGGAGTTGGAAATAACTCTTTACATAGTCTTGTATAGCTCAGCTCATGGTCTAAAGCAATGGTTCTCAACCTTCCTAATGCCGTGACCCTTTAATATAGTTCCTCCTGTGTGGTGACCCCCAACCATAAAATTATTTTTGTTGCTACTTCATAACTGTAATTTTGCTACTGTTATGAATCGTAATGTAAGAATCTGATATGCAGGATGTATTTAGGCGACCCCTGTGAAAGGGTCGTTCGACCCCCAAAGGGGTCGCGACCCACAGGTTGAGAACCGCTGATCTAAAGGATGGCACAGATACCAAAGAATATTTTTGACTCTCAGCTCTTTATACTTATCAAGGGCTTTTCCATAATAATCAGGTTTCCCCAATTAGTTTCTTTATCCTAAGACCTGGGAATCAATTTTTCATTGAGTTATTTACTCCTCAACTCCAGACTTACTTCTAAGAACACTTGGAAAAGTGGGGAATCCACAATTTTTTTACTTCTAAGGAAAGAAGTAGAAATAAACACAGATCCCTCATTTGGTTATGTTGACCAATATAAAGTTATATTTTAATCATAAGCTAGAAAAACATTTATCTATCTGAATTTGACTTTTGCTTCTTTTTTTTTTCAAGCATAGGAAACATAATATTCTGATATTCTGTGGAGCAGGCATGGAGAGAGAGGCCAGAGGTGACACATGGTCTGACACCTAAGGCTAGCTAATCACAAATACAGCCTTTAAAAATTCCCAGAATCAGTCTTCTATCCCTTCTTCTGGCTTCCCTTTCTCTGCCCTTTTTAATTGTTGTTGTTGCATAGAGATCTGTTTATGTATCTTTCAACATTGTAAAATTGTGCTGTGCCAGCACAGCCATGGGTGAACCTGAGGTGGGCGGGGCAGTGAAGGATTAGAAAAGACAGACAAGAGAATAAAGCTGGGGCTAGGTGGGACACTGCCCTTTGATTAGAGAGACAGTGCCACGGCCTGCAAGCCGAGTCTTTATTTTATAGCCAGATTCCACGAGGCAAAGTGAGGGCGTGGTCAAGATGTTTATAACATTCTCGGGGGTTTCGAATCTACTCAATTACATGCACCTGAACTCTATCAAGCCCACATCACTCAGCCACGTGGGACCACAGGTTCAGACCATAAGGTCAAGCTTACAACTATAAGCCTTAGGCTATAATTGTGCTGGGACTTGCACGTGGCTTTGCCACGAGAGGATAGTGCCCTCTCATTAGTCTGAGGCTTGAACCTGTCCAAATGCTGTAGCCGCTCTCCACATAAAATAGCCCTCCTTCAGGGCAGAGGTTGTGTCTTACTTGTTTCATGAATCCCTAGCACCAATCCCAATAGTTGAGATAGTGTTTATACAATGAATGCTAGATAGTAAATGATTGAGTCAGGCTGTTCATTAAGCTATTGCGCGCATACTTACTGAAATATTTATTTTTAACTCACTTTCTCCCCCTTAGGAAATCTTTTTTTGATTATATTTGTGAGTTATTTTGGAACGAAATTTCACAGACCTAGAATGATTGGTGTTGGATGTGCTGTTATGGGCCTTGGGTGTTTCTTACAGTCTCTACCTCATTTCCTCATGGACCGGTAAGCATTCAGGCTCTGATAATTTTTTAGATTCAATTTTCAACTGCAGGAAATGAAGCTTTGGAATTTCCTTTCTAGGAACAATGCTTCCCCAAAACTCAGAGCACCTTAACAGAAACCAAAAACGCAAATTCTGTTCCACCAGTCCGTTTTGTGTTCTTGGCTGACTCGCTTCCAGTTACATAGTCACTTAAATTTAGTTAATTTATGATATAGAGATTTGGAACACCTCTTTTATGGAACTGAGTCTGACTGAAATATTTTTAGGACCTTGCAAAAATTGGAGATGGCTCCTTTCTTTGGACTATTTAGACACTTTTAATTACAATGCGGTTCTGTTTAATTGTAGGTCATCAAGAGACAGACCAGTCTGAAGTTTGATTTTTATTTTAATTTTTACTAAAGTCATTTGTGTACAAAGTTGCAAAAGTAAAATTATATTGAAAAAAGAGTTGCCTCCTGCCCCTTTAACATTGCCCATATCACTTCTTTCCAGAGGCAGCTACTTGGAACTCTTTTCCCTCTTTCTTCTGCTATTTACCTCCCAATGTCTCAATATTTATTCTTTTAGTTTTTGATACTTTAGTGTTATGCCATATATAATGACTTTCTGCTATAATATCATACTCATTCTTTCCATGTGTATGACTACGTCAATATTTTATCATTCATTTCTTAGTCACTTTTTAATTTTTCCCTGGATTTAATCATTGCTTATAAAAATTAATTCACTTTCTTGTTATTTGTCACCAAACTTTCCACTGGTAGGGCAACATCTTCTCAATATACTCATACATATCAGACGGTTTCATTTTCATCTTAGAGATATCTCTCCTGTCACCACCGACTCGTCATCTACAATCCAAATGGGAACCTCTAGGCCTGCTACATGGCGGCTTCCTTGAAATTTTTCCTTATCATAATCCTTGGGAATTTGCTTTGCCTCTTTCCTCTATTCAGTTACTTATTTCTTGGGTATCACATCTTCTGCTTCCCTTTTTACATTTACTTCTTTTTGTGGAAAATATTGTCTAAGAGGTTTCTGAAAAAGTGTCTAAGGGAAGTAATTCTTTTTCTACTCACCCTTGATTGATAGTTTGGCTGGTGTAAAATTCTAGATTGAAAATATTTGCCCTAGAAAATTTGAAGGTATTATTCCAATACTTTCTAGCTTCCAGTGTTACTATTGAGAATTATGTGCCATTCTCACTCCTGTGATCAGTTTCCCTTCTCTGGGATCTTTTGGGATTTTCTCTTAAGCTCCAAAGTCTGGATTCATGATACTTAGTGTAAATCCTTTTCCTTCATTGTGCTCGGTGCCTTCAATCTAGACATTTGAAAAAGTTACTTGTATTATTTCTTTAGTAATATCTCCCCTACCCCTCTATTTTTCTTTTTGTAGAACTTCTACTTGAATATTGTATATCCTGGATTAAGCTTATATGTTTCTCAACTTTTTTCTTCAATTTTCTATCTCCTTGAATTCCCGTTACTTTTTGGGAGATTTCTTTATTTTCCAAATCTTTGAGTAGATTTCTAGTTTTTGCTATCACTTTTTTAATTTCCAAGGACTATTGTGTTTTGAATATATCTTTTTAAAGAACATCTTATTTTCTTTAAAAAATGCAGTGTCTTTTCCCATCTAAATTTCCTTCTTCTGTCTTCATTGTCTCTGTTTCTTCCTAGTGTACAGGTTTTATTTGTTTTGACTCTATCTTTACTGATACAGGGTTTTCTCATACATCTGGTGGTTCTTGTTTTTTTGTTCATATATAAGAGAGCAGTATAACAACATCAAACTAGCTGGAAGTTCTCTGTAAATGTGTAGGACATGATTAATAGAGGACTTCTTTGTATGGTGATTGTATAGGGACTGGCTATTTTTTAGATGGCTCAGAACAGCCATAACCTATCAGTTACTTTTGACAGGGATTCTCCAATCTGTTGCCTAGGAGGTAGAAGCTTGGTTACCATCTAGGTGGGAGTGAGAATCTCACTTTTCAGTATGTACATTTTAAACAAATCTACTACCCTTAGTTTTTAGTATAGCCTTCTTATTCTCAATGTGCCTGTTCAAACACTCTAGAGTCAAAGACCATTTCAATTGGAATGGCAGAGGATGTCTATAAGGGTTTAACTGCTCCTTATACACACTTTAAACCAATCCTTATTTTTGGACCATGCCTACTCACCAATTTAGAAATGTCTTATATCTTGCCTGAAACTCTCCAGGAATATGTGGCACATACTTGGTTGTTTCCATGCAGGCACTTACTTAGGGTTGCATTTTTGATATCTACTAATTCAGTGACCACTCAGTTATATGTTTTCCCATTTTCAAAATCTTCTTGTCAATTTTTTCATTCTTTCTATCCCTGTGGTGTTATTGCCTTTCCTTTTCTATTTTAAAATCCATTCACTGTCATTTTGCTGATGTTTTGGGAATGAATGGACTTTGAATGAGTTCTTAGGTGTTAAGTGGATAAGTTGCATGAAAAAGACATTTCGTCTTCTCAGGTATTTCTGTAAGGATCAGAAGTTTCCAGGCAAAGAGTTTTTTACTGACTTTTTATTTCCTGTCCTCTCCAACACAATGCCAAGTTGTGTTTACATTTACATTTCTCTCTACCCTCTTCCAAAAGTGTTATTTTGTTTGAAGCTGGCATGTCTCATGGCATCATAGGTATGGAGACAGAAGCATTTGTCCACAGTTCACAGTCAAACTCATGGGCATGACTAGGCAATTTTTCTAAGGGAAAGGTGTTTTAACACTCAAACTCATTTGGAACTCAGAGGGCAAGTCTTCCACCATTATCCCTAACAAAGAGAGATTTTATTTGGCATATTTTCCTCCATTCTTTCACAATTTAGGATAATTTAGGATATTCTGACAAAGGGTATGCTGAGCTTATGGTAATTTGCCTAATGTAAATGATCACAGTCTATTCATCCCTTTGTTCTTATGAGAAGAGGAAAGATCATTACATTGTGTTGTCAAGTGTTTGAGTTTCTCCTAAGGTCTCTTATTATGATGGGCAAAGGTTTTGTTTCTCTTAGGGGTTAATGAACACATGCAGGAATTATTGTTTAGATTCTCAGAAAGTGGGGGTATATTTCATATGAGCGAACCTCAAAAAATCCAAAGTTGGAGACTTGTTTTGTTGTGTTGTGTCCCCGCACCCCCACAAAGCCTTTGCTTCTTAATTATATTTTGTCAAGTCTAGAGTCTATTATTTTTATTAGTTTTTGTCCCGTATCCCACAGTAATTGTTTCCAGTAAATGATCACCTACAAACTACAGAAACTTGATGTTAGGTAATCTGAAAGGTAGATCATCCACATGCAAATAACTGAAAGCTAGCTGTCAAGGGATTGCGCATTGATAATGAGCAGCAAGTTTTTTGATGATATTAATTTATGATGATTATGTGGCAAAGATGAAAAGAGTTCTTTACTAAATTTGAATATTATATCTTAAGTGAAGCAGGAATTAATCTGCATAATGTTCACTTTGCCTTTATTAGTTTCTAACATAAAATGTTTTCCCTGTGTTCATACAGGTATGAATATGAATCTACAGTTTTAGGCAATTTGTCCTCAAACAGTTTCTTGTGTAATGAAAATGGAACCCAGATTTTCAGACCAACAGAAGATCCATCAGGTTGTTGACTTCATTTTATTGTTTCTGTTCATTGAATTTGAAACTGAACACGTGTTACTGAGGGGTTTGAATGAGTTATTGGGTTTGATTAAATGACTAAGTAAAATGAACAAAAGATATTTTCTTTGTTCAGGAATTTTGGAGGGGATCCCAGAGGGGAATAGGAATGGCTAATAGTAGAGCATATTACTCCTATATACTTGAATATACATATTAACACTTCTTTGTCTATTCTTTAAAATGGTTATTTAAAAACTAGTGGCCCAGCGCGCGAAATTGTGTGCAGTAGGCTGCCCACCGTGGGAGCCACGGTGCGCCTGTGGGAGGCAGGAGGGAGCTGCACCGCTTCCGCGGGAGGGAGGTGGGAGCCATGCTGCTTCCATGGTAGGGAGGCGGGAGCAGCGCAGCTTCCATGGGAGGTGGGAGGGAGCTGCCGAAGCCCATGGGAGGCAGAAGGGTGCCGCCGCCTCCTGCGGGAGCCGGGAGGGAGCCAGGGTGGGTAGGGGAGGGACCAAGAGGTGCTCCATGCATCTCCTGGTGACCTGTTGTGCATGCAGCCCCGTCCACCCGCACATGCCTCGCCATACACGCAGCCCCGCCCACCTGTGCACGCAGCCTCCTGCTGATAGGTTGTTACAGCATGAGGGCATGATGACCATTTGCATATTAGCCTTTTATTATATTGGATAAGTCAGAGACATCCATTCAAGAGTCACTGCAGAGTTAATTTCACAGAGGAAAACATCTTAGAAGAATGGATTTATACATTTTGTTCTATGCAATGATAGGAAATAGAGATAGAAACAAAGTTTTAAACATCTGTGTTATATCACTGATCTTTTATAGCAGATCAGAGAAAGCAATTATGCCATAGCTCTCATTTATTCTCTTTTTTCTGAACTAGGAACTTGTCTTTGTTTCTCTTTCTTTACAGAAGTGGTGCTTCTTCTAGTTTCCCCATAATCCCATGCTCAAATGTGCAGGTCTCTGGCCCTTCATATGCTAAGGGACCTATGTAATCTCGTGATACTTAATCTGGAGGTGACTGTTGATTTATATCAGTGGGAGTTACAATGGTCCCCAAGGCTAGGAATTTCACTGCCAGCATGGAATCAGAAGGACTCAAAATAGTTTCAAGGAGTGTAAGAAAGCTGTCTCAGAAACTCTAAGCCAAAGGAACCACCTGGGGAAACAGGAAAATAGTGACATCAACAGTGGCCCTTGCTGTCTTCTTGAGCTGGCTTCTGCCAAAGGCTGACTTAGGTCTTATTTCCTATTTCTTTTTATTTAAAAAAATTTACATTGTAGAAGATAAATAAAAACTTCCCAGTTTGGTGAATCTCCAATAAAGTGCATTAATTCTTTGATTACCTGTTATTTTCAGTTTTGTCCACAAATCACTGTACTCAACACAGAAAAAAATATGAATACTCAGAAATGAAGACTGTAATTTTCTGGACTAGAAATACCTGAGAGATAGACCTCAAAAGAAATTTCCAGACCCAGCTGTGCTCAGGACTCTCACATCTGTGGCAGTAGCTGGGCAGTTTATTGTAAATGAGAATGTTATAATTCACTTGCCCGAAAACATGACTCTATAGAGCAGTGGTTCTCAACCTTGGCTGCACATTAGAATCACCTGGGAATCTTTTTAAAATCCTGATTTCTGGGCCTCATCCTCCGGAAATTCTGTTTCTTTGTTATGGGGTGGGGCCACAACATTAGTAACAAAGAAACAGAATTTCCGGAGGATGAGGCCCAGAAATCAGGATTTTAAAAAGATTCCCAGGTGATTCTAATGTGCAGCCAAGGTTGAGAACCACTGCTATAGAGTATTCTCTTTGACAGCTATTTTGGTTTAGAACAGAAGTGGCTAAGTCTTCAGAGGCTTGCCTTCCTCCCTTTCAGTTCCCTTTGGCCTAGTCTTTGTTATTCTGCTAAGTAGTGCTGCTCCAAGAATTCAGGTAAATTTCTTTGTCAAACCTTATTTGGTGGTTACAGTACATAGTAGATTATATAGAGAAAATGTGATTACTATCTAGTTAAGTATTTTTAGTGTCTATAAAGTAATCATAGCTGTAGAGAATTCAAACTTCAGTGAGACTCTTATTTAGATCTTGTAAGTATAGTATCAATTCTAGGGGGATATATTTGTGTTTTTTTAAATATATTTTTTATTGATTTCAGAGAGGAAGGGAGAGGGAGAGAGAGATAGAAACGTCAATGATGAGAGAATCATTGATTGGCTGCCCCCTGAATGCCCACACTGGTGATTGAGCCTACAACCTGGGCATATGCCCTGACTAGAAATCGAACCATGACCTCCTGATTCATGGGTTGAGGCTCAACTACTGAGCCACAGCTGCTGGGCTTTTTTTTTCTTTTTCTCTCCCTAGAGTTATTATAGAAATGGAGTAGCAGTCATAACAGCTAACTAGATGGTGTAGTTGTAGGCAAACTGAGGGAAAAATAGTTCTGACTTCTAGTATTTGCCAATTTCTGTGGTGTAAATGTTCCTATCAAACTATCAATGTGTTGTCATTAAGCATTGGATTGGGAAGAGGTGCATAGCATACTCATCAAGAGATCTCTTCCAACCCAGTAGGAAATGGCTCCAGCATACAACTTACACATGGCCATACCTAAGTACTCTCAGAAAATGCAAGAGGGATGGCCCAGTGAGTTATTGCTAGCATAGTAATATAAGTCATTTACAAGGTGCCATGTCGCATAAAGATTGTGAAATGCTTACCAGAATCTTAGAATTACTTCTATACTTATAGCTTAACTAGAGGTCCAGTGCACGAATTTGTGCACGGGTGAGGTCCCTCAGCTTGGCTGGTGATCGTGGCCGATTGTGGCCATCTCATCCAGTCTTGGTCGGGGCCTATCGGGGCTGGCCGGGGGAGGGACTGTGGGAGGTTGGCTGTGGGAGCACACTGACCACCAGGGGGAAACTCCTAAGCATCTGCCCCTTGGTGGTCAGTGTGTGCCATAGCAACTGGTCGACCAGTTGGTCTAAAGGTCTCTTAGGCTTTCATATACATAGATATTTTACTATCAAAACACTAATGCAATATGTTTTTTCTTTTTAAAGCAGAGTGTGTGAAGGAAGTTAAATCATTAATGTGGGTGTATGTACTAGTAGGAAATATGATACGTGGAATTGGTGAAACTCCCATCATGCCTTTGGGTATTTCCTACATAGAAGATTTTGCCAAATCTGAAAACTCTCCTTTATATATTGGTGAGTTTGAAAATATGCCTTAGCTTCTTTTCAGGATAGTTAAGTCCTTTGAGGGTGGATATTAGTTATTTATTTGGATTCTTACTGATTTCCAGAATGATGAAAAAAGTACTGCAGCACAGGTAGTCATCAGTGAGTTAGTTCAATGGAACAATTACATGCTAACTTCAAATAAACCACTTTGCTAAATCTGCTCTTTGCTGTTGAAAATACTGCTAATCTAGTGTCCCTGGAGTTCTCTTTGACTCCTTCATTTTCTTGGCTCCACTCTATATCCAATCTGTGAAGAGATTCACCAATGATTTCTAAAAAACGCTCCTCATATTAAAAACTTTTCTCACTGTTTTCATTATGTCTATTTAAAAAAAAATTGTTTTTTTATTGATTTCAGAGAGGAAGGAAAAGGGAGAGAAACATCAATGATGAAAGAAAATCATTGATCAGCTGCCTCCTGCTCCCCCCTCCCCCACTGGGGATCAAGCTTGAAACCTGGGCATGTGCCCTGACTGGAATTGAACCATGACCTACTGGTTCATAGGTTGACACTCAACCACTGAGCAACATTAGCCAGGCCATTATGTCTAGTTTTGCTCAGGTCTTCATTCCTTCATTTGTAGATTATTGTAACTTCTTTATTGGTCATTTTATTTCTAGTATTTTCTTTTATTATTTTTTTCACAAGCGTTCTTGCAGTGTAATTTTTCTCAAACATTGCTTTAATCATATTTTCTCTACCATGTTCATGAAACATACTATCTCTTTATTAGCTAAGTCTGATATCTTCACTTATTATTTATAGCTCTGTACTCAATTTATTTATTTAGTTTCCTATATAGTTTCACTTCATCACAATCTCTCCACACTAATTATGCTTTTTCATAATTTATCTGTCTTTGTACATTTGGTTGTTTATTGAAATTTTCTTTTCTAAAATCAATCAATGTCACCTTCCACTATGGCCAACTTAAGATTCACCATCTTGTGTTGTCTTCTGATCTCCTAAATATTTTTAATTTATTATGCATAACTTGCTTATATTCTTTAGTTATTTCATCTGTTGTTTATAAAAATCATAACTTTGAGTACAGTGAAATTTTTCTATTAATGTATTAGACCTTTTAAAAACCAGAAAAGTCAAAGAGGGTGAGAGAAGATGAGACAGAACTACATTTAATCAAAATAAATTAAAACATTTAGGAATCATTACCCCAAATAACTTTGGGAAGCTTTTGGTGACTCACTGATTTCACAATAACCTTTCCCAGTGTTTTTCTGTTCAATCTTTTCATATCCTTTCATATATCTCCTTGAAAAAATTCAAATAGCCCTAGCCGGTTTTCTCAGTGGTTAGAGCGTCTGCATGCAGACTGAAGGGTTTTGGGTTTGATTATGATCAGGGCACATACCTCAGTTGCAGACTCCTACAACCAATCAACGTGTCTCTCTCACGTCGATGTTTCTCTCTCTCTCTCTCTCCCCTTCCCTTCCACTCTTCCTAAAAAATCAATGAGGAAAAATATCCTTGGGTGAGGATTAATAACAAAAACTCCTTGACCTCTGAAATGTCTCTCTCTCTCTCAGTAATTCCACACCTGTTTTCCAACCCAATCACTTAAAAAAAAGGAAATAAAAAAAGAAAGAATACAAATGGTTACCTGCAATAAATTAACAAACACCTTGTCATAATATGTATTTCTTTATTCAACAAATACTAGGGTGTATAATGTATAGAAACAATTGTGATAATCTTTATACATATTAAGGTAAATAAGACATGGTCCATATAAGATTTAGTAAACAAATAACTTGCATAATTATAGATCAATTACATTTGATAAATATGTCTGTGTAATTAAATTTTTTAAAAGTTAAATTGAAAAATAAATAAATAAATAAATATGGTGTGCATATAATTAAATAACTATAACCCTATTAGCTATACATCAAGAAAACAGTGCCATGTAGGGTTCTGAAGTTTAGGAGAGAACATAAGCTAGTAATACAGTTTGAGAATTTTCTATACTAAGACAATAACTGAAACCAAGAGGGAGAAGTGTATTTGCTATGGGAAGCTATATATAACCAGAGGTCCTAGAATAAAATACTAGGGAACACTTCTTCTTAATAGAATTGTCAGAGGAAGAAAAATCAAGGAAGGAGTAGTCATAGAGGGAAAAGTAAAACAATAAATGTATAGTTTAGAGAAAGCCTTAGGAGGAAACTCAAAGAAAAGTTGGCCAGCAATGTCAAATAGTAAATGGAGACTTAGGAAGATGAGGGCTAGAAAAGGACACTGGATAAGTGGTAAAGAGATTACTGGTGCTACCACTTGAGATTGTTTTGAGTAGAGTGTGGAAGGATTTGAGTAGAGTGATTGCTTGGTAAGGAAGGAGAGGCAGAGTGTAGTAGAAGGGAAGAGAGCAGGGTGCATTTGAGGTATTGTAGATATCAGTGGATGGGGGAGAGTGAACAAGCACAAGGGAAGTATTTGGTTGAGCAAGACCTCAGAGAAGATAAAAGGTGTTGATGTCAAGATGTCAGGTGTACATAGGGTGAACTAGCCTATGGAACCTCAGAGAAGGCAGAGACAATGGGCAAGCACATTTTGAAGTAAAGAGAAAGATAGTAGGAGCAGCTCATGTCTGGATTTTCAATGAGCAGGGAGGGTGCAGCATAGATTCTGAATTGTGGACAAGTTATGAGAAACTGGTGATGAAATTTCAGATGAGTGAGAAGTTAATGAGGACTGTTGGAAATAGATGATAAGAATGTGAAGGGTAAGAAAGGAGATCATAATAAAAGTGAAGTATCAATAATAGTGAGGACAAAGCCAGAGAAATTTCAAGTGGGAGATCTGGGAGAAAAGCTTTTATGAGGAATACTAGAAGCCTAATGCACAAAATTCATGCAATGGGGGGGGGGATGGGAATGGGACAGTGTGTGTCCCTCAGCCCAGCCTGCACTCTTTCCAATCTGGGACCCCTCGGGGGATGTCCGACTGCCCTCTCACAATCCAGGACTGCTGGCTCCCAACTGCTCACCTGCTTGCCTGCCTGATTGCCCCTAACCATTTCCGCCTGCCAGCCTGATCACCCCTTAACCACTCACCTGCCAGCCTGATTGATGCCTAACTGCTCCCCTGCCGGCCTGATTGCCCCTATCTGCCCTCCCCAGATGGCCTGGTCACCCCTAACTTCCCTCCCCTGCCAGCCTGGTTGCCCCTAACTGCCCTCCCCTGCTGGCCCAATTGCCCCTAACTGCCCTCCCCTGCCAGCCTGGTCCCCCCAACTGCTCTCCCCTGCATGCCTGGGTCCCCCCCAACTGCCATCCCCTGCTGGGCATCTTGTGGTGGCCATCTTTGACCACATGGGGGCTGCCATCTTGTGTGTTGGAGTGATGGTCAATTTGCATATCACCTCTTTATTATATAGGATGCCACAAGAAACTTAACATCACATGGCATTGCATTAGAATTCCTTTAAAAATGTGGCTATGGAAAGCCTCAAAATAATCTTACTCTGTCTTGTGGCTTCAATGATAGCATGATCCTACCCTATGCTGCTCTAGCAAGTCTTTACCTGTGACCCGGAAAAAGTGAATCTGGAGGCTCAGAGAAAGTGGCTTTAAATTATAAGGCTTCTTCTTCAACGTTTACAGAAGCAATCTTGTTACTTATATGAACACCAGCTTAAGTTGCTTGCAAATTGACTATCTAAGGCAAAAATACCTAAAGCAAAAACAACTCAGTTTTGAGACTCTTCGTGGAATTAGGACTCCTGATGTGGATATATAACTATACTATAACTTTATATTTTCTTTTATTTTTAGGGTTTGTAGAAACAGGAGCTATCATTGGTCCTTTGTTTGGACTTTTGTTAGCGTCATTCTGTGCAAATGTTTATGTTGACATCGGATCTGTAAACACAGGTAATTCATTAAAATCTAGTCATAGTGTCTAGAGTATACAAAGCCACTTCAGGTCTGCTACCACATTTATTGTTGCTTTACTTGACCTTCAATTAGATAGATTCACTATTGTCCAGGAGTTTAAACTAAAGTGGAGGAGTTTAAATAAGTTTTTAAATAATTCATACCAGTGTGCAGGAGAGCAAGATAAAATTCTGATTTTCTGACTCAAAATCCACTGCTCTTTCTACTGCACCAGACCATATTTCTTTTTTTTTCTTTTTTAAAAATATATTTTATTGATTTTTTACAGAGAGGAAGGGAGAGGGATAGAGTCAGAAACATCGATGAGAGAGAAACATCGATCAGCTGCCTCCTGCACACCTCCTACTGGGGATGTGTCCGCAACCAAGGTACATGCCCTTGACTGGAACCGAACCTGGGACCCTTGAGTCCGCAGGCCGACGCTCTATCCACTGAGCCAAACCAGTCAGGGCCATATTTCTTGTTTTTAAAAGATTTCAGCATATAGATTTGAATTTCTTTTAATCAAGCAAACATTTGTGGATGATTAAATAGACCTTGTAGTTATTTAATAAGTATATACTTATAAATAACTTCCATGATAGAGCATATCTCCAAATTTATTGCTAGACATTATTGTAACACTATGCATTGTCAGACAACTTTTATGAATATCTGAATTGTATACAAACTCTATACTTGGATAGGACCTGTAATTTTTTTTCCGTAGTTCACATGAGAAATGACTAAAACTAATAAAAAATGTGTATATTTTTTTACAGATGAGCTGACTATCACTCCAACTGATACTCGTTGGGTTGGTGCATGGTGGTTTGGCATTTTGATTTGTGCAGGAGTGAATGTGCTCACGGCCATTCCTTTTTTCTTTTTGCCCAAAACGCTTGCAAAGGAAGGATCAAAGGATAATGCTAACATCGTCAAAAATGACAAAGAAGAGAAACAAAAAGAAGTCAAGAAGGAAAATGATGGAATTACTAAAGGCAAATATAAAAATTTTAAATATTATATAATTTACTTTTTGTTTTGTATAGATGTGTCTCTATTTGAATCTAGCACTGTAACATGCTATGCTGCATTAGGACAATTTGCCATTAGCAGTTAGCAGTCAGTAATGTCTAACTAGTCTGATACTTCCTGTGCTACTACTTGGAAATAAGTAATATAATGTGGAAGCTGAATTATCTCAGATCAGTATTTATATAAAATTCTTTATCAATCGGGGCACTCAACAAACTGTTTATTTATTTATTTATTTATTTAGTCCCATTTGCCTTGAAGGTCAAATTTTTTAAAAAGAAATTAAGCCTGACTGGTGTGGCTCAGTGATTGAGTGTGGACCTGTGGTTGATTCCTGGTCAGGGCACATATCTGGGTTACTGGCTTAAACTCTAGTGGGGAGCTTGCAGGAAGCAGTTGATTGATGATTCTATCTCATCATTGATGTGTCTATCTCTTTCTCCCTCTCCCTCTTTGAAATAAAAGAAATATATATATACATTAAAAAAAAAAGAAATTAAGCCCTGGCTGGTTTGGCTCAGTGGATAGAGCATCGGCTTGCGGACTGAAGGGTCCTGGGTTCGATTACAGTCAAGGGCACATGCCTGGGTTGTGGGCTAGGTCCCCAGTAGGGGGCATGCAGGAGGCAGCAGCCTATCAACTCTCTCTCATCATTGATGTTTCTCTCTCTCTATCCCTCTCCCATCCTCTCTGAAATCAATAAAAATATCTTTAAAAAAAACAACCTTAAAAAAAAAGAAATTAAATCTAAGAACAAAAGGAGGAAAAATATACACTAATCTGAGTAAGTTTACAGTCCTGAATCCAAGGATGTTAGCTTAGCTGTGAGCTTCCTGGAAATTAAGGCAGAAAAAGAAAAAAGAAAGCAAGATATATAATTGTCTATATTTGATAGATATAGACAAAGAATAGTAGTTCTTAAGGAGAAAATCTTCCCCAAGTAACAAATTGTAAAAAAAAGAAAATAATTGTCATATGTTATGATTTAGGTAGTATTGAACCCATAGTTGTTTCCCAGCAAATGTAGGAGTATATTTCATGTAACTGCTCTCCTTCTATTTTCCTCCTCCTCCTCCTCCTCCTTCTTCTTCTTCTTCTTCTTCTTCTTCTTCTTCTTCTCCATCCTCCTCCTCCTTTTGGTATAGATTATTAATAAAAGTTTAAAGTATAATTTACAGAAGGTGTTTCTATGGGGAGCTAAGTTAAAAGAGTCTAAGTATTTAGATTTTAAAACTTGGCCACATATTAGAATTACCTGGGAAATTTTTAACATTGATGCCTGGAAATTCTGTATTATCCCCAAGAGGTCTGATTTAAGTAGTATGAACATTTAATCAGTATGGCCTGGGTCTTGGAATTTTTAGAGAGTATTTATTTAGAAGGCAGGGAAGGGCTAAGTTTTCTTATCTATAAAATGGAGATAATAGTTGTAGTTATAATTATAGAGTTGTGTGAAGGTAAAAGGAGTTCAGGCACTTATTATTATTATTATTATTGCAACTAGTATTAGTATTATTTGTTGATGTTGCTACTTCTAAAATCACCCACAATTTATAATACCAATTTGCACAGAATTTTTTATTAACAATTACAAATGCACTTAAACCACAATTGAGCATAATCCCAGATCACTGGGAGCCAATTCAGAATCTTGCAAATTCCCAGGCATCATGATTATATTACAACTTTTCTCAAAGAGATGGTATGGACTAAGAGAGGATATTAGCATAAAATATTGTTTGTAGTCTATAGAATTATTTTTCAAAACCAGGAAAGAGCTTAGCTTAATATAAGAAATATAGGAAATAATTTGAGCTGCTGAGACTCATCTATGAGGACAGAGATGTCAACAAAATGGGTGACTTAAAAAGCTCTAAAGAGCTCTGAACACAACTCTCAGCCCTGCTAAGTGTTTTATTCCTAAATATGAATTCTACCACTAGAATTCGTCTCTTTTCATGGAGCTATGCTTCCTCTTCTTTCAATTTGTTTTTTTATTGATACTTTGTTCCAGAATGGATTTTAGGCAGTTTATTAAGCAAACCAGGATAATACAGAATAAGGAAGGTAACCAAAACAGAGAACTTGAAGACGGAAAGTGAAAAGAAACCGCGAGACTGTGACCTCAAGTGGCAGCAGTGTGACCCAGACCATTTGCTAGAGATGGGCAAAATTTGGCTCTGAGTTTTGGCAGTGAACACAAACAGGGAAAAGTTTTGGTTAAATTATATACATGGTCCTTAGTATGTACCTAATGAATCAGATCTCAGGGAGTGGGTTTTAAAAGATACCCACGTGGTTTTTAAGCACATTTTTGTTGTAAACCATTGGCTGAACCACCAAAACTGATGTTCTGAAAAAGCAGAAAAATACCTGGTACCTGAAACAATTTATATTCCATGAACTCCCAAATACATACATATTTATTTTAAATGTTCAGGAATGATAATATCAATGATAGAGTGTGCACTTCTTTATCAAGTTGATTTTCTTCCAGACGTTAGAGAACAGAACAAATATCTTTCATTCCAGATGATCTCTAGAGAAGAGAGGATATTAATTAGAAGGAAAAAGAGAAGGATAAAAGGAAGTGGTATGAACACAGACAATATTTTGGTCACATTGCAGTTTTTCCTTAAGACACAACAGTAACTCAGCGAAGGCAAAACTATTGTGTTTTGGTACCTATCTAGTCAGCTGTCACCACTTGCAGAAGCCTCCAAAAAAAATGGCATAACTTCAGCTTCTAAGAGGTAAAAAGAGTTAACAATGTGTGCATTATAAAACAGGAAAGCAATTTGGAGGGGAAGTTGACGTTTCAGAAAAAGTCAATCAGAAAATGCAGAACGGAGTTAGTTCGACACTGTTGTCTTTCTTCCCTTTCAGATTTTTTACCATTCATGAAGAGTCTTTTTTGCAACCCAGTTTACATGCTTTTTTTGCTAATAAGTGTGGTACAGTTCAATGCATTTATTAATATGATGTTCTTCATGCCTAAATATGTGGAACAGCAATATGGAAAGTCAACTTCAGAAGCAATCTTTCTAATTGGTATGTTTGTCCTTCTCAGCATTATTAGCCCACTCCCCTCCTCCCCCCTGAAATGGTAAACAGAGTGATGATGGGTCTAGGAAACTCCTAAATTAAAAACTGTTAGGATATTTTTGTCTCTGATACATTTCTCCCTTCTCTCCAATGAAATCAACAAAGGGTGTCTCTCCGACACAAATTCAAAATATTTCTGAAAATCTCGAGGAATGCACAAATTAGTTATAATTTTCAGATAGGCAATCCATTAATGAAAAAATTAAAAAAAGGAAGAGAGTGAATTCATTAGGAGTCAATGTTTTACTATCAGATTTTACTCTTGGCTCCCAGTCATGAATTCCATGGTTCTCCTGGTCCCCCTGGTCCCCCTGGTGGTTTCAGGTGTCTCTGCAGCCTATATATTCTGACTTTCTTGTGACCACATGACTACACCACCACCCCCTCTCCCCGGTTAGGTTTCTCCAAGGATCTCTTTACAGCTGTGAAAGTGAATTTCCTAAATTATCTGCATCCACATCACCTAGAGTGTTAGTTAAAAGTTCAGATACCTGGTGCCCACCTTAGACATACTGAATCAGACATACTGAATCTCTGGTGTGGGGCTCTGGAATGGATTTTTAACAACCTCTTCCAAGGGTGTAATTCAATGGGCAGATCCTGGCATGTAAGAATGCAACCTAAGGCTGTCTCTTCTTTTTTCTTCTTTTTTCCTTGTGTGGAGGGAGGAGTAGCAGCAAAACATGTATTGTAAATACACTTTTGACAATTACAGGCAGTAATCTTTGAAAGTACCTTAAACTGTGCCAAATTCTTAACCAAAATGGGAATAAACAACAGCAAAATCATATATATATATAATGACACCCCCAAAATGGAAATCAATAAATTACTGGTCGGTCAACTTTTACTTGTTGCTCCTACCTGGATCCTACAAAACATTTATATCCTCCTGTTATCAATAAAATGAATGATAATAGGTCTTCAAAAATATACTTTGACATTGAAGGGCATTTAAAAATATCTCTGTAGGTAACATGTAACAAGTAGGGATAAAATTAAATCAGCCATATTTACTGTGAAATGGACCTAAATGGTTTCTTATGTAAGACATGTTAGATATCTTTTTTGTAGTCTATAGTTAGATAAAAGTAATATCATATTTGTTTCTTTGCTAAGTAACACTGTAAATAACATTTTCTTGCATTTATAGGTATTTACAACTTACCTCCAATATGCATTGGATATCTTTTCGGCGGATTAATGATGAAAAAGTTCAAAATTACTGTCAAACAAGCTGCCCACATAGCATGTTGTTTATCTTTCATTGACTTCCTTCTCTACTTTTCGTGTTTTTTCATGGTCTGTGATAATTCTTCAGTTGCTGGCATAACCACCGGTTATAAAGGGTATGTTTTTTTTTTTTTACTAAAGAATGTTATACACTTGAATAGTTAATAACATATTTTCTTCAATGATTATCCAGGACCAGACCATTTGCTAATGGTAGCAATCTATGGTCTTTCATCTTTCCTTCATCTGTCAATTACAACCAAATGTATTCAGGCTCCAGGTTTAATAAAGAGGTTAGGAACATATCACAGGGTTGGTGAGTTTATGATTGCACGTGTGTCTATGTGTGTGTCTTTGTAGTATCCTACTAGATATTAAAGTGATATCAAAAGAAACTATAGTTTTAGGTTGCATTGGGATATGTTATTAAATATTTTATACTCTCACAAATGGGTAAAATTAAGAGTTGAGCATACGGTCTCAATCGCTTTTATGTTTCCACAATAAGCTTAAATTTAGCATAACCCAATCCTGATACATGCTACAATAACTCATATAAATTCATGTATTTCATTTGTATAGTTATGTATCATTGTTCAGTAGTTTTAGATTTGTATTTTGAGGGTTCTCTGGGTCTATAGGAAGGTTGTGTGTGCTAGAAACAGTGCTCCCTGATCGAGCAGGGTCACAGTCCACTTTCTTTCACTGAGTGAGGCTGTAGAATATACTGCATGATTAAGCGGGGTCATTGGCTAGATTCCATGACTGAGTAAGGATGCCCATTGTGATAAGCCATTGGGTAGGACTGTAGGCTGGGCTCTGCTGCTGCTCAGTGCTGTAGGCTTGGCTTCACAGTCTGGCAGTATGTTATGCTAGGCTCTGAGGATGCTCAGGGTTATTGGTTATGTGGAGTCAGAAGCTATACTTAACAGTAGAGCTGGGCTACTAGCTTGACTCCCTGCCTTAGTGAGGTTGTAGGATGGGCCCAGGTTCCCTGGCCGGGCTTCCTGGATGGGTGGTCATCAAGATGGCAGTACTGGTTGTTCCTGATACACTTTTATACTAGAAGAATATATTTGTTTACACATATTTTGTAGTTATGTTTCTGGAGCTAAATGTATTATCTATATTATATGTTGGACTTACAGATTTTGTTAAAAATATGTTTTTAATGATTTCAGGGAGAGAGAGGAAGGGAGAGGGAGAGAGAGAAACATTTATCGGTGGCCTCCCATATGCACCCGATCCCGTAACCTGGGCCAGTGACCTTTTGGTGCATGAGATGACATTCAACTAACTGAGCCACACTGAGAAGGGCCAGATTTTGACCTAAAGTGAGCTCTTGAGATTGCATTAATGAATATGATCTCTCTTGTTACTTTCCATGATGTGGATCAACCGTAGAGATTAGGGCAACTTTATTTTCGAGTTCTAATAATACTTGGAAGAATACCTCCCATATGGTTGGCCCTCAACTAATTCTTGTTCATTGACTGTTTGTTTATGTAAAATAAATCATTGAAAAAGTGGCTATGTGGTCACTGAAGCAGCTAACTTTTATGCCCTATCTATAATCACCAGGCCACACACTGATGGTTGGAAGTTTTCTGTTTCTATTTTGGGGAAGAAAAAATTTAACTGTGGACTGAGATGAAAAAAAGGAAAGAAGAAATGGTCTAATAGTCTTTCAATATTCATGGTATTATTTTAAATCATTTCAGAATGCAACAAGATTTACACATTGGAAATGCCATCCTTGATGATTGCAACATGGATTGCAACTGTCCAGCTAAAACATGGGACCCCGTGTGTGGAAGCAATGGTTTGTCATATATGTCAGCTTGTCTTGCTGGTTGTGAGACATTTGTTGGAACAGGACTGAACATGGTAAAATAATCTATTACCTTTATTTTTTTTTTAACAGAAATTTTGATTTATGAACTGCATTGTCACTTTCCAACTGTGAACTGGGGCCACATTTGATAAAAGTACAATTATAGTCTTTCTTCAAAACCAAATTATTTTGTAGAAAAAATAAACATTTTTTTTCCATATGCTCATTTGATTTACTTTTTATTTCCTAGGTCTTATTTTAGACCTTTAGAGTGTCTGAGCACTGATCTTTAATTTTATAGCAGTTGACATTATTACTCAGCTAATTTGTTTTAAAAATACTCTGGGCTGAAATATTTTTATCATTGAGATAAAGTTGACAGCTTGATCTCAAGTATCCAGCAAATTGTTTTGCTGGAGTTTTTTTTCTGTGCATATATATGCACATGTTGTCTGTGTGTTCCACATTCTGAGAACTTTGTAAGATGGATTTAGGCATGTTTTCTTGCCTAACAATGTTGGCTGGTGATAACAGTAAATATAAATTTTGAGTCTTATTAAAACCTGGAAACATATAAGAATTCCAAAAAGAATTAACTTTACTCTGTTTTTGAAATAAACTATACTTTTTAAAACAAAGCTTTACTTATCTTAATAATCTAAATATTCCAACTGAGCATTCTAGAACAAATTTTGTTTCTGATACTTAGTATTGTGGCAAAACAGTATGTCTTTTTAAAAAGCATGGCTTTAGGATAGGTGAGTTATTGCAAATGTACTCCGTATATTTAGAGAGAAATGCCATGTTTCTGAAACTACCCTTCTATGTTTCGCTTTTTGTTATGATCCTGAGAGACACTATAAAGGAGATGAGAATAAAGGGAATAAACAGCCTACATTTTGATCCAATGGGGGATGTAGAGAATATTTGAGATCTGTGTTTAAGATTTTTCTTCCTTAAAGAGGATAATGTATTATTTTTTGACAGGTGTTCCATAACTGTAGCTGCATTCAAACCTTAGGAAATTCATCTGCAGTTCTTGGGCTGTGCGACAAAGGACATGACTGTTCCATGATGCTCCAGTACTTTTTAATCCTGTCGTCAGTCAGCAGTTTCATTTACTCTTTATCTGCCATACCTGGATACATGGTTCTCCTGAGGTACACAAATTATTTTCTTTATTTAGATTCCTTTCTGGTCACTTATTAAGGTAACTTTCTCAGAAAGCCAGTTGGAGCTCAGGGCCTAAGACAGTGATGGTGAACCTTTTGAGCTCGGCGTGTCAGCATTTTGAAAAACCCTAACTTAACTCTGGTGCCGTGTCACATATAGAAATTTTTTGATCTTTGCAACTATAGTAAAACAAAGATTTATATTTTTGATATTTATTTTATATATCTAAATGCCACTTAACAAAGAAAAATCAACCAAAAAAATGAGTTCGTGTGTCACCTCTGACACGCGTGTCATAGGTTCGCCATCACTGGCCTAAGAGTCCAATGCTTTAATATGTCATTCATTCAGGGTTTTGCATTAAAGCATTATTGAATTTTGTGAAATTTTAAAGGTAGCCCTACACATGTTCCTCTGTTGACTTTTCCCTTTGTTTCTTTTCTTCCTTATTTCTAAGAGTTAATTTAGTGAAATTCTCATTATTTAACACAAAAAGAGACACATCTATATCATAAGGTTACAAGGAAACACCAATAAGATGACGTGTTTGCTAAAAATGTACTGCATCCTTTTGTGAAGAAAGCTGCTTTTATTTTCTTAGCCTTGCTGTAATCAGGGAAGGAAGTGGAATACAGAGGAGCTCTCCCTGTGAATTCTTTGAGCAGGTAGCACTGCCGATGCTGAAACGAGTGAGGCGCAAACAGTGGCACGGGGGAATTATAGTCTTCATTTCTACTTACAGGCATTTCAGGCAACAAAAAGTGGGAGATTTTCTCGAGAGAAAAAGAAATCAGTGTGACTCTTGAAATTATACCAAATCACTTAACATATATTTGCTTTGGAGTTTTTCATCACTTTCCTTTGAAAATTTGTATTTTTTCTTTCCTCCTTGCATTTACTTGTGTAAATTATTGACTTTTCGGTATTTTGCTAATACAAATAATTTAAAAACAGCTAGGGTTGCATTGTTCTTGTTTTAGGCTAAAGGTTGAACCATTAGAATCAAGAACTATTACTTCAATGAAAGGATAGAAATGAGCTGATATGAAATATTTTATCCTTTGATAACTTTCTGATGGAAATGAATGAGGAAAAAGTTTTGGGTAAAATGCCAAGAACCAGAAGTGAGGCTACTGTATAGGCTACAAACTGGATAATCAGGCCTTGAATAACCAAGACTAGAGCATGCAAGGAAATTCTAATGCTCAATGTGTTACTAGCACACAAATGGTCCTTTTACGAAATTATCATAGTAGGCCCTGGCCAGGTACTAGTAGCTTACTTGGTTAGAGCATCATCTCTATAAGACAAGGTTGTGGGTTAGATCTCCAATCAAGGCACATACAAGAGTCGACAGTTGAATGCATAAATAAGCAGAGCAACAAATCAATGTTTCTCTCTCTCTCATCAATAAATAAAAGTTAAAAAAAGGGAAACTAGTCATTTTATTTTATTTATTTTCTAAAAATTGCTTTATTTGATTTCTTTTTAAATATTTGTATTGATTTCAGAGAGGAAGGGAGAGGGAGAGAGAGATAGAAACATCAATGATGAGAGAGTATCATTCATTGGCTGCCTTCTGCACACACCCCCCACTGGGGATTCAGCTCACAATGGGGGCATGTGCCCTGACTGGGAATTGAACTGTGTCCTCCTGGTTCATAGGTCAATGCTCAACCACTGAGCCACACTGACCAGGCCAAAAGTTGCTTTATTTTTAAAACATTTCACACAATCCCCAACCCCTCCCTTTTGGCAACCATCACAATGTTCTCTGTATCTATGGGTCTGCTTCTTTGATTTGTTTATTCATTTGTATTATTTTTTAGATTCCACATATAAGTGAAAACATATAGTACTTGTCTTTCTCTGTCTGACTTACTTCACTTAACATAATACCCTCTAGGTCCATCTATGTTGTTGCAAATGGCAACATTTCAGTCATTTTTATTGATGAGTAATAGTCCACCATTGTATATGGTAGTTTTAAATCTCATTATTTTATTTGTGAATTCATTTCTCTTTAGGTGTATTAAGCCTGAAGAGAAGTCTCTTGGTGTGGGATTACATGCATTTTCCACAAGAATATTTGGTAAAAATAGTCATTTTTTTCAATATTATATCAGATCATTATTAAATACTAAGTAAATTAAATCACTCTCTCAGAGTAAGAGTCTAGCAAATATCCCTTCTGCTTTAGATAGCACTCTGTAATTAGTATGAGAACGAAGTGCAAAAAGAACTAGAGAACTTCCTTCTTTTACTTAAAAAATGTCCTATTTAAACTTAATTCTACTTTTCATCTATTGGATTTGAAAATCAAATGAACAGGAAATGTTATGTTAAAATAAAATGTACAGATGATTGACCCAAAACATTGCAGAAAAAATATATTCATGAATTCAATGTTTTTCTCTATCAATAGTTTTGTGTAGCATTTGTCCACAAGATTACTTATCCTTTATAATCTAGAAACTTTAAAAGTAAAAGTAATTTCTAATCTCTCTAAAAAAAAGCCAAGTATTAAATTTAGATATTGTTAATTTTGTTGGTTCTTCAAATAGAGGTAATTAAAATTCTCCCAAACAATATAATGTATCTTAATTCTTACCTTCTTGATAGAGTTTTCTTTTTCTCTTTTATTGTAGCTGGAATCCCTGCACCTATATATTTTGGAGCTTTAATGGACTCCACATGTTTACATTGGGCAACTTTTAAATGTGGTGAGTCAGGAGCATGCAGGATATATGAGTCCACTAACTTCAGGTAAAGATAATAATTTTTTAAAAGAATTGTTTTCTTAACATAGACTGCATAAAATGGCACCAATCATCCTATATAATAAAAGCCTAATATGCTAAGTGTCTGGTTGTCTGGTTGGCCATTCAACCAATCAAAGTGTAATATGCTAATGATATGCTAAGGCCACTCAGCCACTCACTATGACATGCACTGACCACCAGGGGGCAGACAGTTGACCAGTCGACCAATCGCTATGACGTGCACTGACCACCAGGGGGCAGATTCTCTGACCAGTAGGTCAGCTTGCTGCTGGGGTCTGGCCAATTGGAACTGAGTGAGATGGGCACATGCTCTGGAGCCCTCCTGCGGTCCCTCCCCGGCTGGCCAACCTCCGTGTCCCTCCCTGCCCTGATCCTGCACTGGTGGGGTCCCTTGGCCTGGCCTGAGCCCTCTCGCAATCCAGGACCCCCCAGGGGATGTCGTAGAGCCAGTTTTGGCCCAATCCTGCAGGCCAGGTGGAGGGATCCCACTGGTGCATGAATTCGTGTACTGTGCCTCTAGTGTCTAATATTTTCTTTGCCAAGTGACTAGTCTACTTTTTGTTTTGTTTCCAGAATAGATATTGATACTATATCCCCACTTTTTATTTATGTGCTAGAATTTCATTTTTCTCAATATTTTCAAAGTACTTGATAAATATAAGCATGGATGATTTCCTTAACCTAGCCTTTCAAATGTTGTTTGTTTAATTGTTTGCAGTCAATACATTATTGAAGGTAATGGCTATATATAAGCTACCTATCTAAATTATATTGTTCTCTAAAGCAGCCATTTTCAACACTTTTCATCTCTTGGCACATATACACTAATTACTAAAATTCTGCGGCACACCAAAAAAAAAATATATATATATTTTCCAATTTGACAAAAGAAAAGATAATTTTGATTCATTCACACTGGATGGCTATTGTTGTATTGACTGTTGTAATTTTTTTATTTGAAAATTTAAGGGAGAAAAGGTCAGTGCCCTTGACTAGTCAGGTATTGCATGTTTTAAAAATTCTTGCAACACACCAGGGTGCCTGTGGCACACAGTTGAAAATCGCTGCTCTAAAGTGTCCCATTTCATCCTCCATCATTTTAGCATCTTACTAGCTTGAATCCTTACTTCCTTTCACCAACTACCTCTGATCTCCAAAGTGATAATTTTCTCTGTCATTAAATTTCACTGACACAATATTCTTCATGTCTCTTAAGGGCTTATTTTTTTGTTAATCAAAATCTGATTTTGAACAAAACACGTGATATTAACCAGTTTTTGAACAAAACTCTTCCATTTTTTCTCTTTCTATTTCATGTTCTTTCATGTTCCATTTGGATACCAGAATTTGGTTTAAATTTGAATTAAGTTCTCCTAATGGGGCAGTCTTATGCCAATTATTTAAAACTAAAGGCCTGGTGGATGAAATTCATGCATGGGGGGCGGGGGTAATCCCCTCAGCCTGGCCTGCACCCTTTCCCATCCGGGACCCCTCAGGGGATGTCCGACTGCCTCTCGCAATCTGGGACTGCTGGCTCCTAACCACTTGCCTGCCTGCCTGCCTGATTGCCCCTAACCATCTCTGCCTGTCTGATCGCCCCTAACTACCTCTGCCTGCCTGCCTGATCACCCCTAACTACTCCCCTACTGGCCTGATCACTCCTACCTGCTCCCCTGCTGGCCTCTTCTTCCCTAACCACCTCTGCCTTTACCCACACCCGGGACCCAGGATTCCCTCCTCTGGCCGGCTGCAGGCACCCAGGACCTGGGCCTGCTTTGCCCGCACCAGCAGCAGCCACAGGGGACCGTGGGCAGGTGGTTTTGCCAGGGCTGCAGCCTCAGGTGCCCAGGTCCATGGGGCGGGTGGCTTGTCCCTCTCCCGGGCCGCAGGTGCAGGCACAACCATTGGCGCCTGGGACCGCGGGGTGTGCGGATTGTCTCTCTCCTGGGCTGGGCCACAGGCACAGGTGCAGGCACAGGCGCAGCAGCTGATGCCTCAAACCGCAGGGTGGGAGGCTTGTCCCTCTCCCAGGCCACAGCCTGGCTGGTCCCCATTTCTCTCTTGTGAGCTCATTTGTTCCTGGTTGGTCCCCATTCCTCTCTCATGAGCTCGTTTGTGCCTGGCTGGTCCCCATTCTTCTCTCACTAGTGTTGAGTGTCTGAGCTGTTATGGCGTTATGTTGTGAGGGCGTGATGACTATTTGCATATTAGTTCTTTATTATATAGGATGTGAAAATCACATAAAATAATTGTATAAATCATGAATGTGTACATATATACTTTGTAAAACTATAAAAATAAATGAGGAACAAAATTAATAAAATTCAACATAATGTTATATCTGGGATGGGTTAGAAAGCATTAGGATTATAGGGTACATAGAGGACTTAAATGTATTAGTATTTTCTGCTAAATCGGTCTGAAATAAAAGTAGTAAAATTTATTCATTTAAAAAACCTTGGTAGTAAGTTAAGACTTGTTTAATTTTTTTTCCTGTATTCTTGAAATGTTTCATAATAAAATAAAATTTTAGAAGTAGAAAGATGAAATTACAAAGCAGAAATCAATAGGCTACATATCATAGATGTAACAAAAAATAAAAGCTGTGTTTTTGAAAAGTTTTAAATATAATAATGGCAGTTATCTGGAAAGACAAATAGAGGTAGCACAAATAAAAAGTATTATGAATGAAAAAGGGCCCTGGCGAGGTGGCTCAGTTGGTTGAAGCATGTCTCATTCATCAAAGAGTTGCAGGTTCGATTCCTGGTGAAGGCACATATCTAGGTTGTGGGTTTGATTGCAGGTCAGGGCATGTACAAGAGGCAATTAATTGATGTTTCTCTCTCACATCAATGTCCCCCCAACCTTTTTCTCTCTCCTTTTCTCAAATCAATAAAAAAATATCTTCCAGTGAGGATTAAAAATGAAAAAGGGTATATAAGTACAGGTACTTATGGGTTTTAGATATAACAAGCTGGAAACATATTGAATGAGAATTTTTTAAACAAATATATATATTACCAAAATTTTACTATAAATATATAAAAACATGAATATTTTATAGCTATTAAAACGGAATCAATCAAAATGTGCATCTCTAAAAGCACTGAGTCCAGATGCTTTTAAGGCAAGTTTTACAAATTTTTGATGATCTGGTGATAATGGCGATTCTTTGGGAGTATTTTTATTAAACACTGGACCAGAGGTCCAATCACTGTCAGTATTAAATTTAAGTTGGAGTGTCTAGTCAATGTAAACAAATAAAAATAGTACTGAAAGATCAGAAAAAAAGAAAAAATTAGATTTTCTGGATGAAAAATTCTAAAGAAAACCATTTTAACAAAAATTAATGAGCAAAGTTGCATATGTATGATCAACATGCAAAACAATTAGCTGCTGTTGTTCTTATGGGAATAAAATATTGAAAATTAAAGATCTACAAAACTAGTTTGTATTCACCATACTGTCTATATAAAATTTAGTATGTTTCAACTTTTTTTTTTTTAACAGACACCTCTACCTTGGATTGCCAGCAGCACTAAGAGGATTAAGCTATATTCCAGCCATTTTTATCCTAATTATTTTGAGGAAGTATCGTATACCTGGTGAAAATACCACTTCAGGAACTGTGCCTGCAGAGGCAAAGGTTACAGGGAATGAGGGCCAAGAAATGGACCAAACTTGCAAAATTTTGAATAATAATGTATTGAACACTAAAATGTAATATCCTATTATTCATGTTTCCCAGAGTTGGAGAACACACTATAACTTAATTGTTTGTAAAAATCAATAGAGGTACTGCAGGTAACCTTTTCTTGTCTTAGAACCTAAAAAAAGTTTTTTTTACTTAAGGTAAAAAGAAAAAAGTTCACTGATGGTATTTCTGAGCCATCAACGGCACTTGAGGTTTTCCTTAGATGGACATTTATAACAACCTTAAGAACTGGAGATTAGAGCCAGCTTTATTATTTAAAAATATTTTGTTAATCTTCGCCCAAGAATCTATTTCTATTAATTTCTTTAGATAGGAAGGGAGAGAGATAGAGATAGAGATAGATAGATAGATAGATAGATAGATAGTAGATAGATAAACAGACAGATAGATAGAAACATCAAAGTGAGAAACATTGATCAATTGCCTCCCTGGGATTAAACCCACAACCTAGGTGTGTGCCCTGACTGGGAATCAAACACACAACCTTTTGGTGTAGTGGATGACGCTCCTACCAACTGAGCCACCCAGCCAGGCCTACAGCCAACTTTACATTTATGTTAAAACAGCAATTTCTCTTTTAACTTATGTACAACAAGAATATATTTCCTTCATTGTCTTTTCCAAATGACTCTAAAAATCCCTGTTATGAAAATCTACTTAATTCCATTGAGTATCTGCTTTGCTATTGGGGTTAGAGACTGGAATTCTCATCCTGCTATGTGAATATTTAAGTATTTTATTCAAATTTATTGCTTCCAACTAAAAGAAGCCCATGTTGTCTTCTTTTATTTATAAATTATTCTTTAACTCCTCCTATTTATTCCAGACATGACTTTGAAAATAGTTTACTCATCAATGTGCCATCACATGCTTTCAACCCATTCCCTGCTTTATTATTCATTCCATATATTTGCTCATTTTGTTCAGCAAACTGACAAACTGAATCAGGTTATTAAAAATCATGTAGTAAAGATTGTTGGAATTTTATTTTCAGCAATTCAAACCAGGTTACTTTTTCTTAAAAACAAGTGTCTGAGCCAAAGAATGAAAGGGTCATATTAGAAGACATTAGTCCTTAAAGGCTGCTTGTAGTGAAGATATTGTCAAAGAAACACTTTGCCAGATTCAGGAGGCCTCCTTAGACCAATGTTTATGCCATTCACAGCGACCTAAGTTAGTGTACACGCACTAATTTTCCATAAACCATCTTAGAGAATGAAACCTTTAAAAAGTAGCTTCTCTTATGAAACTGAACTTAATAAAATTCAAGATGCACATTTAAAGCTAAATCTACTCTATAAAACAAACAAACAAAAACTAAACATACAGTATTACTTTATAATTTATAGATATAACACAAGAGCCTTATGGATAATGGAGATGGGGTTCAAGAGATTAGAATGAACATCCATGTGTATCTACTGCTATATCTTCCTCCTTATTCTTCATCACATTGAAATTAGAGTCAATATATAAAAATGATATAATCCCCAATGGTGAGGAGAATGTGGAAAAGAAGAACGGAAGAGGGTCTCAATATACTATGGTTACTTATGTGGAATATAAAGGGAATGGGAGTGTTTCTAGACTGGTAGAAGCTGTAATCCAGAATTCACTTAGAAGGCCCCTGAATGTAGGTAGGAGTCTCTTGTTGAAAGTTTGAAGAATATAAGTAGGTAGCTGGACAAAATAGAGGCCAGTTACTTGAAAGACTGTCTACAGACTTTTTTTTCAGACAAACATGATTTCTTGAACAATTGGATGTGCCACATGAGGAAAAAGCAACTGAGATGAGAAAGACTGGGTAGAAAAGGTTTGTGGGGAAGAAGTAAGAGTTAATTTTTGGACTTGTGAAGTTTGAGACTTCATCTCTAGGTGTATTAAAAATAACCGTGATTCAAGACAGGGACAGTGTGGAAATATGAGATAGGAGCTAAAACCATTGGAAATGAACAGTGGAACTCAGGGGTAGGTATGACTACAGCAATTAGATCCAGTTGAGGGTTAGGACCTGATGACATTAACTTTGGAGCTGCTTTTTCTGGAGGGAAGGAAGTGGAGAGAATGGCCTGGAAGCTAAAAGAGGGGCAAGAACTTACCACATAGCCAGAGAGTTGTGAGAAAAAGTAAACAGGTACCACATAAAAAGTTTTGGGGGTAAGCAACATCCCCAGAAGAAACTTGGATTTGGGTTAGGTGCAGTGGTGACAAGAAGGCGCATTTATGATTTTGAGAATATAAGTAGTTTTGGGATTCTAAGTACCAGAAGACAAAGTGAAAGACTGAAAATTTCAGGAAATGGCATTTGAGAGGAAAAGGTTGATAATTGGAGGTGTCTGGAAATTATGCATGAAAATTAGAAGGAAGGAAATGAGAGATAACTTGGAATTCTGAAGCTTTTTGGGCGACTGACATAATGAGATCAGTTCTGATGAATTTCAAGGCAGATAGTGTTGGTGAGTGTCAAAAGTCAGAGGGGTCATCATTGGGCTCTTTCATGACCCCGTGTTATAGAGGCAAACTGGAGAAGCAGAAACTTACTTGAGTATCAGAGTATCTTGAGTATGTTGACTTCTATTGATAAAGTGATAGACAGCTTTCTCTAAAGCTGAGTCATGCTCTGTGTACAGTCGCATACTTGAACATCCTCAGGGGAGAGAAGTAGGTCCAGAGAGAAATGATTTTTGGACCTAGTACCATATGCTCACTCTTATCCCCTGTTAGGAAAGATGGCATTTTACTCTGAGAGCCCAAGGTTCTTTCTTGACCCTTCTTGGTGGAAGAAATAAGATGGGCAAAAGTGAGCGTTGGAGTGCTTTGTAATCCCTCATGACCTCTGTTAGAATTCATGAGGCCTTGGTAGGCTAGTTCTTATTTTGATCACTTGCACTACCACATACAAGGCAGAGGTAATGGAATAGCAGACCGAGTAGAAAAGAGAAACAGGAGAAAAACAGGTAGTGGGAAGTCTAGGGTCACTAATTTTCTTGTTTAATATTGTGAGGAATTTCGCTTAATGGAATTAGAAATAGTTTAATATATCATTTATAATTATAAATGTAACCAATATTTACAGAATCTTAAAAATTAATAACTTCAAAAACCCACAAAAATTGGGAAAAGAAATATAAAGGAAAGGAGAGGTAATATGCATTCTTCATACTTTATAGAATAAAGTTAAAATATATTTTAAACTTGATAAATTAAGATAAAATTGGTATACACACATATTTTTTTGAATTGCTTAAAAATGGTGGCCTCAAATATTTCTCTTAGCAATATTTTTTTTCTGACATATCTCTCTGAACAAGGAAAATAAAAGAAAAAATAAACAAATGGGACTATATCAAACAAAAATGTTTTTGCACAGCAAAGAAATTATCAACAAGATGAAAGACAGCCTACTTAATGGGAGAACATTTGCCAACGATACATCGGATAGGGGGTTGTATGAAATTTATGAAGAATTCATAGAACTCAACACCAAAAACAAACAAACAATACTATTTAAAATGGGCAGAGGACTTGAGTAGACACTTCTTCAAAGAGGACATAGTGATGGCCAATAGACATACAAAAAGATGCTCAATGCCACTAATCATCAGAGAAATGCAAATTAAAGCCACAAGGAGATGTTACCTCACACCTGTCAGAATGGCTATCATCAATAAATCAATAAGCAACAAGTGCTGTGAAGATGTGGCAAAAGGGAACCCTTGTGCACTGTTGGTGGGAATGCAGATTGGTGCAGCCACTATGGAAAACAGTATGGGACATTCCTCAAAAAACTAAAAATGGAACTGCCTTATGACACAGCGATTCTGTTTCTGGGAATATATCCAAAGAAACCCAAAACACTAATTCAAAAGAATATATGCACCTGCATGTTCATTACAACCTTATTTACAATAGTGAAGATGTAAGCAACCCAAGTGTCATCAATAGACAAGTAGATAAAAAAAGTTGTGGTACATTTACACAATAGAATATTATTTCGCCATGAAAAACAACAACAAAATCTTACCATTTTGCAATGGCATGGATGAAACTAGAGGGTATATGCTAAGTGAAATAAGACAAGACAGAGAAAGGTAAATACCATATGATTTCACTTATATGTGAAATCTAAAGAACAAAATAAATGAAAAATAAAATTGAAACAGACTTATAGATACAGAGAACAAACTGTTGATTACCATAGGTGAAGAGGTTTTGTGGATTAAGTAAAAAAGGTGAAAAGATTAAGAAGGATAGATTAGTAGTCACAAAATAGTCATGGGGGTGTAAAGTATAGCATAGGAAATATAGTAAATAATATTGTAATCTTACCTAATAATATACAAACATGTAAATTGACCATCCCTCCTCTATGCTCACCAGCCAATCAGGAGAGTATGCAAATTAACCCAACAAAGATGGTGGTTAATTTGCATACGCAGACACAGAGTGGCGGAGCGAAGACTGAAGGCTCCGGCCAGAGCGAAGGCCTGGGTCCCGGGTGCTGGAGGAAAACCGGTGCCGGCAGCCAGGGGAAGGGAAGGCCTATTGCATGAATCTCTTCGTGCAATGGGCCTCTAGTTATTATATATGATGCCAGTTGTGTATTGGAAATATCAGAGAGAACACTTTGTAAAGTATATGATTGCCTAACCACTATGCTGTACATCTAAAACTAATACAAAATAGTATTATATGTAAACTGTAGTTGAAAAAAGTATAATAGCAGGAAAAAAAGTGGTTGCTACTGTGACACAATTATCATGAAAAGCAAAGAACGGCACATTTATCTTTCATTTCAATTTTTTTTGTACTCTCATTTTTTCCTGTCTATATAAAACATGATTTTAAATGATATTTCATTAGTATTAACACATCAGCAAAATAATAAGAAATAAGATAATGTATTTTACAGAAAGTGATGAAACAGAGTCCTCTAATTACAGTGGAGCCTTGACTTACGAGTGTCCCGACTAACGAGTTTTTTTGAGATATGAGCCGTCTCTCGGCCGATTTTTTGCTTTGAGTTGCAAGCTCAAAAAAATTCGGGTTACGAGCCAGCTTCAGATACCCCACCACTAGTTGGCGCAGTGAATGTCACAGTGATTTGACATATGAGCAATTTGAGTTATGAGCTCTGTCACAGAATGAATTAAACTTGTAAGTCAAGGCCCCACTGTATAAGAGTTGTTGACGGTCTCCAACCGTGTTTATTGAACAATTGTTTTCTCAATTCTGGACTTGGTTCTATAGGATATGCATCTTGGTGTGTATGTGTGAGGTAGGTGGTAACTAAGCTGTAGGCTGTAGAATTCAAGTTGGT